ATCTCAAAAATTGAGATAGGAATATATTTAGTTTATAAAGAGTGCTGTGTTAGAGGTGGAGCTTGCCAGAACAGCACCAGTGTAGAATATGTGTGCTTGCCGTAAATCTCTCATGTAGGGAGAAGACAGAAAGGGACCAGAATTTGAAATTTCTGTAGGAAGTCAAAATAGCGGGTTTGATTCTGATGTCAAACCTGTTCTTTACTGATGTACTGGAAGAAAGAGAGGCAGTTTTGATTTATTCAGCTATTAGTGCATATTTAACTGAATTAGATTGATTTTTTTTCCCAAAATAAAAAGCTATCCCCAATTAGAGGTAGTAAGTAATTTCTTACAGGCAGCTGTGGTATTGGTAGGATATGATTTGAAAGGTTGGGCAAATGCCTTCCAAATTAGCCTGAGGCTTTCCTGTGGGTGTAGAGATCCATGGAAAGGACAAGAATGTTTGTGGGACAAGTGGACGAACGAACACTGGAGACTTGTTGCCAAGGTAAGAAGAAGGGAATGGAACACAGGAAGAGAGAGAGATTATAAAGAAGTAAGTAGTATACTTTGGCTATGGCTTGGATCTGTGTGGAAAAATAGATGACACTGTTAAATATAATTATCATACTGAGGACCTGAATTGCAAAACGAATGATATACAGGGGTAAGGGCAATCTATTATAATATATAGTGCCAGTCACAGTGGGTACCTGTCGCACGAGGGCTTCAAGGCAGTGTGGGAAAAGGACTACAGAATAGCAATAATAATTTGTGTCTGTTGGTGAGGGAGGAACAGATGAGGAAATACAGAGAAAACGAGGAGTCCAGGTTTGCCTATGTCAAGTTTGTTCAGGTTGAAGTACCTTGTGGGTAGCTCATTTTGTACATGAGCTCTAGTCTTCAGTTATTTCTGTGCAAGACTATGTGGACACGTCCACTTTAGAGTAAGTGCCCAATATCATTTTGTTGTGTGTTGGTAGGCATTTGATAGAAAGTCATGGAAAGTTTGTGAGAGGAGCCAGGAGGTGAACATTTTTTGTAGAAGCTTGTATAGTAATGATTCCACTTCTTTTTCCTTAAGGCCAGCTGGAGAAATTCTTACGTTGTATTAGTACATTTAATTGCCTTCTTTTAAAAAAGTGGCTATTGCATTGATTTACATATTTTCCATCTCTCCATATATTACAGTTCTAGTCTAATCCTTATCTTCTGAGCTTTGTAAATTATGCCAAAATGTGTGACTACCCATCCCTCCTGAACAGACAAACTTGTGAGTTGTACTTGTCCTAAAGTGTAAAGTGAATGTGTTGCAACTGACTATTGAAATCGTATCATAACTGGTAGCGGGCCTATCCTATTTGTACCAAAATAAGATGTCCTGTGGTCATCCCTGTTTTTCTCATTAGGGCTTTTGTTTTTTTAAATTTTAAAATGAAATTCAGTGTTGGAGAATGCAGAGAATCAACTTGCTTGTCTTCAGTCGGACTTTGTTCAGTGATGTTAAGGGATGTTTTGACCCTAAAAAACTGTAATGATAATACAGAGTATAATAATTCATTCAGAGGTGTACCATGAGTTTATATAGATGGGGTAGATGTCTGTCTTTTCAATTCATGGTTGAGGACTGATAGGGTGAGTGAACGGAGTTGCTGAAGATTCTGGCAAGCCACATGCACAGCAGAGTTAAAGCAGAGGTCTACTTAACTTCTCCCTGTACACTAACCAGGTGCCCCAATATCCTCTTTAATAGTCTGAGTAGGGAGTATATGTTGAATTGTAGCAATCACATCTGTGATCAAGATGTTAAGATCCTCCCACCCCAAATGAAGATTTTTGTGGACAAAATTGTTTTTCTTTCTTCCCTTTCTTTTTCTAACAGAGGCAGCATCAGCTGTTAGTTTCTGGAGAGCAGATAAATATCTCTGTATGTAATTAATTCTCTTATAAAAGCTATAGGAGTTACGGGGGGGAAAAGCATGCATATACACCAGGAGCCTCTGGATTTCAGTTTGTTACCCACCAAACTCCAACAAGTTTTTATGGAATATCAGATGGGTGTAGTTTCTTAAGTGATGTCTTGCATTGTGTGTACTTCTATAAAGACTTTTGGGAAGTAAAATACCACTTAGGGTGTGTTAGATTATCACAAATTGATTCAAAGATATCTACTTTGTAATGGTACTAGGAGCAAGGAAAGCTTAGGAACTAAAATGCTGGTAAACTCCATATCAGTTTTAATGAAAGGGTTATAAATGTCTAATTTATATTCTGTTGGTATTATGTTATCAAAAATGTTTTCACATTAGAATAGGAATTAGTTACATTATAGATTTAAGTAGTTTTAACACGTGCAATACTGTTACTCCCAGTTATTTAGAATTATAATTTTTGCTTTTTAAAGAAGAAAGTAGCTATATTTATAGGTATAGCTATATGTAATAGGTGAGTACATGGCTCTATGTATAATTTTGCTATTGTGACATTCATCCGTATTTCCTTCCACTGAATATGTGAATGGCTTGAATGTGTATCTCGGCAAATACAAAGGAGGTAAAAAAATTATTCATCTTGGTAGATTTATATTATTTTAATTTAAGCTTCAGTTCCATTACTTTTTGATTAAACATACTTCTATCTGATGCTATCCATCTTTTATCACTATGAAATCTGCTCCCAAGCAGAAAGAAGGATGGCATCTGAATTATGCAGAAATCATTTTCTGTCCTTTTTTTTTTTTTCAGATGATGAGTCTTTTTCATAATCTCACCAATATCGCATGTGGCTTCTTCTAATCCTCTGCTTATTTCTGAATATTCAACTGTTAAACCTTGGTCTTCTGCTATTTGTTTTTATGGCAATGTATCGTCCTGGATGCCATTTGCTTCAGGTGTAGCTCAGACTCCCAATTCAAGGGTGTAGAATACTGAGTTATCATTAGCTCTGAAAAGTTTTTAATATCTCAATTTTTAAAGTGTTGTTGTAGTTTTATGCATTTCTAAGTATAACTTTAAAAACAAACAAAAAATAATCATGCTTTGTTGGTGGAATCACCATGAATTTTATAAGATAGCTTAGACCACAAATAGGTCACAAGTTTGGTAGTGAAATAAGGTAAATACCATATGTAAGATTTCATTCATAAATATACACTGACTTGTTTGGGTATGCGGTTGATTGGTTTTATTATTTATATAATGTGATTTTAAAAATATAAAAGGTGACATACAGTGAGAGTTGTTTGCGGGAGTGAAGTACACAGCCTTCTGCAGTAGACCAAATGGAATTTTGCTATTAAATACAAGTAATCACGACCCACTTCCCTGGTGAGCAAAAACTATTGAGCACTGTTGTATACAATTCACTGCATTATAGTTACAGACATTGGTTTTGACCTTAAGCCAAGTATCTCCTGTGTTACTAACCTTTAGAGAGACCGACAGTCCATCTGGGTGAATGAGAACCCAATGCACACAAAGCCTTCGCTGCTGGTAGGGAAGCACAGAACGGCATCTGTAAAGTGTTGTCTTCCTTGGGTCAGCTGGTGAGTGAGCTGCTGTGTTAGTTCCGTGCCAGCTCAGAGAGTAGGAGATAGAACAGGAAAAGAAAAAGAGCAAGAAATATAAAAGAAGAAGAAACAAAACCAAACCAACAAGAGTTGGCCTTGGATTTCTGGCTACTTGGCAAAATGGCTTTTCTTCACCAAAACCCAGTCAATCCTCTTTGGTTTTTGAGGATAAAAGAGGACTGATAGATGTTCCCTGGTAATGAGACTGTGCTACCAGTGCACGTTCATGGGCAGCACATAAACTCTGTGCTGTATTTTTCTTGCTGTGCACGTAAACTGTTACTTCTTTGGTGGTGGCTTCCCTGCAGTCTAGAAGCCAGATCTGGAGGTATTTCCTGCCAGGAAGAGAACAGGGAGATGGGAAGTAGTAGAGCAGGGCACAATAATGGCAATAGAAAAGATAAATAGAAGGAGGAGAGCTAAAATAGGCAACGAAAAGAAAAGTGAGAAAGTGAGCTGCACTGTATTACATTGCTCAGAGGGATCATTGATATGTAATTTGTCCTTGCATTCTTGTCTAGTTAAATCCATGTCATCAGGGACAAATTTTACACTTGGTATTACTTGTCCTGTTGCCCTGCATATGTGCCGAGTTTTTCAACTTCAGTGTTGTGTTACTACTTGGTTATACCGACATTCATCCTGGTTGTCTGGAAATCTTGCCTGGGTGACTCGGAAGGAAATAAAAATACTTCATTGTTTTATAGGACCTACCATCTTTTTTTTTTCCTCCTCCTTTTTCTGTTTTGTCTAGATCAGCTGTAGCCTGTTTCAGGAAGGGAAACTCCTATATATCTGTACAAAACAGTTAGCAGAATGCTTTACTGAAGCGGTGAACAATTTGGAGGTAGAACACAAATGTTAATTCATCATTGATGACATCTAAGTCAACACCCATATAATTTCTTTCAGACCTTCACAAACCATTTCAGGTCTTTAAGCCACATATATGTTCTTATTTCACTAAGGATACTTACTTTGTATCCTCTGGCCATGCTAATCCATGTTAATTAAAAGCATTGGTTTTGACTATCTAAACTGTATACAGCACCCATTGTTTCTGAAGTTCTAATTCGCCGTACTTCTCTACTCCTAATGTTAGCCTTGTATATCCATAGTGTTTATTACAGCTTTGAACTTATGGTTCTGGCAAAGATGACTTAAGATCAGGCTTTCAAATGGAAACTAAGCTTGTTAGCTGTTTTTAATAATATGTAAAAATGAACAACTGGTTTTAAATGAACAGGAAATTATGTGGTATATTGAGTCTTGCATGTGTGAAAATCTAAACAGCTTGCAAATGCTTGTAGTGCTGCTTTCCTTTGCTCTCTAAAATTAATCTTTTGAAATAAACATGCATTTTAAATAAATTTTGGAAGGCAGGAGATAGAAGATTTTTACTGGAGAGGTATCCTTATAAATATATTTAATTACATATTTGCTTATTTTTCCCAATGTAGGTGTTCGCCTAGACAGAGTACGTGGAGGTCGCCAGAAGTACAAGCGCAGAATAGATGCAGAGAATAGCCCATACCTGAACCCTCAGCTAGTTCAGCCAGCAAAAAAGCCATGTGAGTACAACAGATACATAAGATTCCTCTTTGAATACAAGGTATTGACTCCTTGCCCTGTTTGCTAAGCTCCTTCTGACTGGGACAAGGGTTTGGTCAGAAGATATTACTGTGAAAACTATATCCATTCAGCTGTTAACATATTTTGTTTCATATATGCTCATCTTTCTCAAGTGGAGTTGAACAAAGAATATTTTTACACGTTGGAGTGTATAAAAGCATGGTTTATGCAGTGCAAATTTTACATTTACAGGTTATCTTTATTTTCAGTGGTACATAAAATGGTTCATACAGTGATCATTAGCTCATTGAAGCTTCTAGTTTCAGATTTCACAAGAAAGTGATTTTTGTAGTTTTCACTAACTAAATGAGTTTGACTGCTCAACCTCCCAATGAAAATACATTAGGAGCCTCATTAATTTATACCTATAGATTAATACACTACCTAGCATTAGATTAAAACAGCAATATGCCACACTAATAATAAGCATAGATTGGTAGTTTGGGCTCTAGTACCTTTATGAATTTTTTTGCTTTGTTTTGTTATGTTTTAATAATGTCCTTGATTGTATCTTGCCAGGCTGAAATTAAGAGAGAGAGACGGATTGCTGATCATCTCACTGCTAAAATACAAGTTCCATCCTCTTTGCGATTAACTAAAAATAGTTAGGGGTTTTGCTTTGCAGCTTATATAAACTCAAGCAGCGACTGTACTAATTCCATGAAGTAAATTTAATAGCATTATAGCTGTAGTGCAAGAGGCTAGTGTATTACCCTGCAAAGGCACACACGCTGTATCAAGTGTTGTAAACTCTTTCAAATTCAAATGACAATACACATGTCCAGTTGCTCCTGCAGAGAAGGTTAATTTGCTCCTAAAATAGAGAAATAAGCTAGAGAATTAAGGAGGGCAAACTCCCGCTTGTCTCCCACTTGCCTCTGCCCCTATGCCTCTGACAACACACATGTCAGTTTTAGGCTCTTGAAAATACCTGTCTGTATGGAAAATGGAATTTGTTTCTATTCGTGTTCCCCAGTAGGGGACAGTGCTGTGTACAATACATTTGAGCATATGGGGAACTGGAGAGCAAATAAACAGTCTTTGAACTCTAAGTGAAAGGGCATTTTAGCTGTGTCAAAGAAAAAAACAGCCAGTTTTACATAAAATTAAGGCTTAAGTGAACATATGGCATAGTTTCCTTTTGCCTTTCCAAAAAACATTATGCTGATTATATTCCTTCAATTGTCCAATCTGGCATCTTCTACTCAGCCTCCATAAGCTGTCCCACCGTTCTGTAAATACAATCTAGGGCTGCACTAAGCAGATTTTGCACATTATAATAAAAACTTTCTGATAATACAATAAAATTTAATAAACTCTAATGCTTAATTTCATTAGAGGTTTAGTTTTCCTGGGTGCACAGATTGTCAGTTTTTCATTTACTTGATACAGTCATTGAGTAGAAATGTTGATAGCCTAGCATACCAAAAAAGCCAAGACCAAACAGGAAAAAAAAAAATCCAACTCAAAAACCCCAAGCCGTTTAATATAAACAGAGGTTAACGCTGTTGTACTGAAACACAAGAATCTCTGTTGTAAACCCAAGATTACTGCAAAGTAGTGCATTACATTACCTTTAAGACGATAACTACACCAATTTCTGTAAGCTCCACTTGTCTGAGATAAACTAACCTCCTTATAAATCATTACTCATTATCTAAGTGCCTCCTCTCATTTCCCTTAGCTCTTCCAATTACAAACATTTTTGTAACAAACATTTATAAAACTTAATTTTCAAATCCTGTCAGATAAGTGTCAAGACTTGAAACAGTTGAATTGGTTTTGTGTGGAAGTAGCCTGGGAGATTTTCTGGACCCTGACTGATAGTTTGTATGTTACAAAGGCACAGGAACGAAAATTGGGTTCTATTGATTCTAATTAGGGAAACATTAAATAAGATTTACCTAGAAACAGTGCTCATGGCTATTCAATTTCCTGAGTGATGGAGTTTTCTAAGTACATTCAAAATTTTCCTATGGTCTATACGAATGCACACTCCAATACAGTTTTTTCTCCCCGATCAGAAGGGAATAAGTGTTTGGAGGGTCTTTTCTACACCTGCCTCTGATCTCCATTGTGTTTTCCAACTTCACCGTGGAATCTAGCGGCCTGCCTATAGATCACGTTGATTGCAAAAATAAAAAGAATTTGAGATTTTATGAATCCCGAGTCAAAATATCCAATATTCCTCAATCATCTGCAAAAAAAGAAGTGGTGAGAAACCTCATAAAAAATTTAAAGACGTTCTTTGGCCATTTCTTCTGTTTGCAGGGAAAAAACCCAAAACTTGGGGCTGTGAGTGCTTCTTCATTCATTTATCACTGGTTAAAACCCCACAAAATTGAAGTCCTCAGCTACATGTGTTTTGATATTAAGAAACTAATTTATTTATCCTACTTTTCAATATGTGCAAAAACATTGGAATTTGGGAAGAAGCAATACTATCTTTTCTCACTTAAAAAGATGATGTTTTCTGTGTGAAATTAAACAGGATTTTTTTAAACAGGACTGTTTAAAAAATTATGTGCAAAGGCTGTTTGCCAATATAAGTTAAAACTACCATCTGTCATCTTTAAATAAGTATAGAATTCCTCATTAATCAGTTTGATAATCAGTAGAATATTGAGATCAAGAATTACGCAGTTGGCATGGTTCCTGTGGTTCATATAAAGCATGGATATATCCCCTTGTAATAAAACATGCTTGATGTGATGGTTTCCAATTGGCTCTTACACTTATTTTGTGAAGGGCTAACATATATCACAACTTCTGACACACAAATTTGGAATAAGGCAAAAACTGTAGAGACAGTAGATCAGAATCGAGGAATCTATGTCACAAAAGAGCAGTAAGGTATCAGAAATCTGAATCAAGTGAGTATTTTATGGAAATCTGTCATGGGCTGGTAGGGACCCTCTCTGACACTCCTGGGCAAGTCACATCCCCATCAGCTTCCACTGGAGCTCCCCCACAGGAGGACAGTTTGGTCCATCCTGTGACTTACATGTGGAAGAGGAAAATGATACTAATTCTGCCAGCTTTCTCTGCAGTCAGAAAATACGTCGCACCTTCTCACAGCAGAATCCCATTTATATCAAGCCCTGTGACTCTTTATCCTAAGGAAGGGAACGGGTTAGTGTAAATTCACTAAGGGGTGATACTTGGGCTTTAAATTCTGGTGGTACGTGGTAGGTCACAAGATGTACCTATCATGAAAGGTAAAACATAAATATATTGGGAAGTATAAAATGTATCTTGTACTAGGAGGCTTAATCAATTAGTCCTTTTTCCCACTTTTCAGTTCTGCCTTCTCTGAGTAACAAATCAGGCTCCTATATAGAGATAAGGTATTTCCACTGTGCCTCCATGTGGATATAATGCTCATTTTGTGTTTATCCTATATACAGAATAGCAACGCTGTATTGTAAATCTTCCAGGCTCTTCAAATCTTTTTTTTTTTTTTCACTTTTCCTTATAACTTAAATGATTATTCCAAACAGATTTCACAATTCCTCTGGATGAAAAAGTAAATATTAAACACATGAATGAAAATGCTATATAGATAAAAGTAACCAGTGTTGTGAATATGATAAAGTATCATTCTTTGCTCAAAACCAGTTTTCTGAGGTAGGATCTGTATCTATCGATACTCTCCTTAGTTTTACACTCCTTATTCTCATTGATTTTAATAGCTATTCCTGACTGGTTCTTTGTACTTAAAGAAGCTAATTTTATACGTGATTCTAAATGTGTGTGTTTCACTGGAAAGCAAAATGACAACACCCCGCTTTTCTCACAGCATAGGCCCCAAGGAGTACAGGTTCACTCTTAACATTTTAACAGGCAGGATACCCATAATGTGAGATATATGGAATAATGAGCACTGAGAAAGTCCTGAGACCATTTCTGTTACAACAGTCTAACACTGACATCTAAAACAATAGTAATTAGAATCACTGACAGAAGTTACAGATTTCAGTGACTGACTAATCGCTTGTGGTATTTACTCCCTCAAAAAATACACCTGCCTTTGTGGAGGGTGAGTTGCAGGTAATTAGAAGGCAGCAAAACTTTCCTTTTTGCACAGTCCAAAATACATTAAAATGCATGGATATTTTTCTACAAAGTTTGTATTGCAATATTAGGAGGTGATCATGTATTTCTACATTCCATTTAATTTACTTTCTTAGGAACGTACACGTCTAGCTTGATAAACATCGTTAATGGATCAGATTTGTTTGTGCTGTAACTGCTTGTAGAAGCTAGTGAAGTTACAATGTTTAATTAGGTCCTGCATCTTAAGACAAATTCTTGTGCACTTTGAAATATGAGCCATCTGTTTGAAAAGTAGAATGATGCTACTGGTGATCTTGTGCTCTTCTGGACCATTTTTACAGATAACAAGATTGTCTCCCATTTGCTGGTGGCTGAACCAGAGAAGATCTATGCTATGCCTGACCCCACTGTTCCAGACAGTGACATCAAAGCACTTACTACTCTTTGTGACCTGGCAGACAGAGAACTGGTGGTGATCATTGGATGGGCTAAGCATATTCCAGGTACATATAGTATTTATTGCAAGTAGATGACATACAGAAATCATCGCATGGGTTATTCTGTTCTGGTAAAAAATATGATTTGTTCTCTCACTACAATGCGTAAAGTTTTCTGAAGGCTCCAGATTATTCACATAGGACATAGGTTAGAAAATACTATTTCCAAGGTAAGATATATTGTCATTGTTGCTATGAGTGTTACTATGTTAATAAGTTTTACATGCTGCTCAGTGAATGAATTTTTTTCATGTATTACTTTTATTAAGATAAACTTACCTTGCTATCCAGAGCACTAGCCTGGTATGAAGGGTAGTGTAAGTCCTCTCCTCTGTACTCATCTGATTCAACAGTAGTTGGATGTAAGTCTGGTTCCTCTATTACATAAATGCAGCAGAATTTTATACTGGCCACAGGACGTGCAAAAATTCAGTTATATTTTGGCATGGCACAGAGGAATTGTTCTCTTCATTGAATGAACTAGTGTAAGAACTGAGTTGCACCAGCAGTTCAGTGGAAGGAACTGAGTTGTACCAAAAGGTCTCTTAGTAATACCTTGGTCTGTATGAAATGGACTGTGGTCTACATCATGTAAATGTATTGATACTATAGAAGCTGACTGGCACTCTTGTTAGCAAGAAGAGTGAGGGTCATGAAAAGCAGTTTCTCAGAAGATAAGCGATTTCTTCAGATAACATTTCAGGTATATTTTATTTCCTCCCAATGCTGAGATATTTTTGCTTGCTCTGTGATCTAGCAGACAAACTTACAGAGAGCCTCCAGGGTTCTCAGTCTGTCACCTTTCACAAATGGTAAATTCACACAAAAAAGGTGGGCTTTTTTTCTTGTTTCTTAAGGTGTTTTTCTAGTCCAGCAGATGACTGAGCATGTTGGTGTGTTTTCATCAGCTCGTTAGTTTTCCAATTTTGATAGTGGAGCCTTATTAAGCATAAGAATGGGTAACCTTTAATTCCTCTAAGTAATACATCATCCTCATTTTAGATATGATTTTGTGATCCTTTAATAGTAGAATGAATAATCGAGTCAGTTGTTTGTTCATCAAAGTTAAATATATTTTATTTATAGTATCACAAGAAATCAGAAAGAAGTAGAGTCTTCCTGTTTTGTTTTTTTTTCCCTTCTGCTAACCAGCACAAGGCCTCAGTTCTTCTGGGTACACGCTTCTGAGTCATCTTCAATAAATATAAACACTAACGAAGAATAATAATATAATACTTTGTACATTTATGGAGCGTTATTTTACTTCTGATGAGAGACAACAACCTACAGACTCTAAAACAAGTCAGTATGTGACACAGTTGAAATTTAGCCATTCTCTGTGCCACAAATGGTGTATAAACAAGCTTTTGTATCACAAGCAATGTTTTTCTGGTACAGTTAACTTATTTCTGTCTCCTTAAACTAGTTTGTCTTTATGCTTTGAATGCTACAGTAATTTCTTTAATCAAATTGATGGAAGTCCCTTTCCCAGCCCACACTGAAACCAATTTATTGGTCATGATACGCCAGCTATGTTGCTAACAGTCGTAACGAACTGTCAGGCAATATCGCAGTGAAGCTAATTTGAAGTCATTAGGTGTGCAGCGTTCAGGCAACAATTTGTTACAGTGGTTAGGAACACAGCTGACATTTCTGAATGGCTTTGTTCAGAGCAGTTCTAGATGAGTCCAAGCAAATTGTAAACTAATTTAAACATCACTCTATATTATACTAGCTACTTTGTCTTACACTGGTTGCTAATAAAGCACCCCAAATTAAGTCAAAATGAGTTAAATAGGTGAGTTTGAGTTTCATCTTTGGAAGATACCTAGATCACCTTAACTGAAATAGAGTAGCTCTCAGAGCAGTCAGTCATGCTCCACAGTAGTTGCAGGGGAACTTTTGGCAGTTTGATTTGTGAATATGCTGTGTAGCTTTGATTTGGCTGGAGGGGTAGGAAGAGCAGAGGGATGAGACTCCAGCAGTCTTTAAAATGATGGCTTTGGTTAGTGTGGAAAAGGTATTGGATGCTGTAAACTGGCCTTGAAAATTTAAAGTTTGCGATGTGAAGCAGTTGAGGAACATTTCTGCCATGAGGCAGTCTTTTATTACAAAGTAAACTCAGAAACACACCTCCTGTGATAAAGCCACACTAGCTAAGAAAAACACACCTGCCATAGTAAAGCCATACTAGCTAAGTTTACTCACCTGACTGTGTTTAGGAATGAGAAAGAAAAGAGAAAATAAACCCCCCAGGAAATAAAGACAACCTTTTTATAAGCCTTCTGGTAACAGAGGGCAGTGATAAAATCTGTGCTTGTTGTCTGGCATTTGATCACAAAAATCAAAATGCAAAAGGGCTTGACATGCTAAAGGGCACATGTGATGAGCTTTTGTAGTTTGGTTTTGAACGATGGAGTACTGCTGAACTGGACTGCCTACGCTTGGCTAATGTCTGGCACAAAACAACTTGTAGAAGAGCCTGGACTGGTGCTAGCAGACTCTTTCCTAAGCTAACACATGTTACTGCAGGCAGAACCATAACAGAATTGGAAAAAGGATGAGTTAGAAAAAGGGTGCAAATTGCATAAAAGTTCACTGTAGCTTAGCAGACTAAGTAAATCCTTCGTGTAAATCTCTTGGAATCGATTAATTATACCAGTAGTGAATTTGTGCCTAGCACAGCAAAGCAGCAATCGGCAAATCTTTCTTTACTATAGTGATTTCTTAAGGTTCACTATAATTAAAGGACCTTATATATCAGGTGCTTAATAACTAATAAAGATCTCAGCTGTAAAACATTGCAATTCAAAGCAAACTTTGTCTTTGTGGAAGAAACCAAAATAATGTTTTTGCTATTCTAACAGCAAGTCTTTTAATGAGGTTATCTAGAAAAAGGTAACAATGCAATATACATTCTGCCCTGGCCAGCCATTTCCCATTGCAGTCATAGACTAAGGAATGTTCTAAAATTATACAAAGTTCAAATGCTTTCATAAAATCATTAGTATTTTTGTGCTATTGGAAACATTTCAATAGTTGCTTTTATTGAACAAAAAGTCTATGCCATCTACAAAAGGAAATATTGAAAGAAAATATATACGGAAAGCCTTTATCAGTAAATAGAATTAGTCTCCTTGCATTTATAAATCAAATAAATGGAAAGTGTGTTGTTATGAAACATGACCATGTCTTATCTGAAGAAGAAAAAGATCACAATGGCATTAGGAAATGCTTGACTTTAGTTCGAGGAGCGTAAGGGCACAAGAACAGATGATGGTGCCCTAATAGCCCTTTTTAAGAATGACAGGGCCCCGCCATTAGCATCCTTTTATATCCCTGGAAATTGCTCATGCCTCGCTTTTCTGGTTCCTATCTGCCTGACTCTTTTTTATTTCTCTTTCAATTTCATCCGCGCTCGGATAAGCGCATGCTAACACAATATGATTGAGCTGTAAAATGGAACGCTGTCGCCTCTAATCTCTTTTATGTAGATATGGAGGTACTTCCACACTCCACTTCATTCTCTCTCCATTGTTGGCCTTTTTAGAATGTGTTGCCGAGTAATGGAGGCTCAGTCAAATATTAGAGCTAGGTTTCACACGGTGTGATAAGAAGATTATCAGACCGACAGTCAGATCTATTGTTGTTCTTTGTGTCAGATTAAAATATTCCCATGTACAGTAACTTTGTTAGCAAAATACTGAAGGTGCTTAGGGAGAGGCTGATGCTGCTTCATCTTCTGCCTGATGAGACGAAACCCCTATTAGCTGACCTAAATAAATTGTGAATATTTTATGAAGCCTCTGCAAAAATCTTTTATTTTATGTTATGTTATTTTATGTTATGTTATTTTATTTGTCTGTTAAATAAGAGAGCCCTGCTTAATATTTACTGGTGGTTGAGTTTCCTACCCTTAACATTGTATTTTGGGGAGATTCCGTTTTATATTGGTTGCATTATATTAATGAAACCCTTTTCCAGTATGGGGTGGAATTCTGCTGATACCTACTCACAGTATCAAAGTCATTTAGGCCGATTTCTGTAATGTAACTATCTCATTGACATTCAGCAAAAATGTGCAATGTTCTTTCATATTAAGTGGAGGCAGGAAACATTAAGCTCTTAAAAATGTGCATAACAGGAAGCTAAAGACAAAATGTTCTCTAAAAAATTTGCATGCATGAAAAAACATCAACCAGACCATAGAAATCAACTTTTTGCACTTAAAATGAAAAATTTGTTTGGAAACAGTAAATCAGACTAATACATCAAAAATAACTAGTTACATTATTTAGTAAAATAAGCCTGCTTGTCTTCAGCTGTGTCCCTGTTTTGCTAGCAGTAACTGTGTTCAAGAAAGGGAATAGTCAGAAATTGATACTGCCACTGGTGCTAGTATTAACAAAAAAAAAAAGACATGATTTTGATAGAGCAAATCCAAGGATGTTTTGAATATTTTAGTGTTAATGTTTTATGAAACATTATTGTTCCAGCATACTCTTTAAGCTTTCCTTTCCAAAGCTCTCAGGGGTGTAGTTTAATGTTCTAATACTGAAAAAGAACATGATTTACTGCAGAGTTGTTATTTCTAAAATGCCCTTTTCTCATCATCTGTTTCAGAAATACCACCCCATGTAGGTAAAAGTACAGAGAAAAAGTTGACCATAATCACTTTAGGAAAGCTAATGTTCAAGAAAGCATGAGAGCGTGCATATGTAGTACATCCATGCAGCTACGAATTAGCTATATATGTACCTGTTCTCGTGCACATAGTTGTTTGTGTATCTACATCTTAGTGGACATACAGCATGTGTTTAAATGACAGAGAAAAAATGCTGAATGTTACTTCATGGTATTATTCACATTGGTGAAGACAGACTGAAATCCTGTGCTGGAGCTACCTGGTGTATACAATCACGTATGTTGTAGCTGTAGCCAGCATCCTGTTTATGCCCAAACCCTTCTCTGGTTTGTGACTGGGGCAGCTAATACAGAATTTCAGC